ACCTCTTCATGATTGCAATCTGGTCAAGACTTAGCTCTCTGCCTTCTTTTCTTTTTCTTTCTTTTTTATTTCCCCTGGTGTTTGAGCCACACCCAGCAGTTACTCCTGGGTCTGCACTCAGGAATCACTCCTGGGGATGCTCAGGGGACCATAAGGGAAGTTGGGGATTGAACCCGGGTTGACCACATGCCAGGCGTACATCCTTTTCATAGTGCTCCAGCCCCGCTCTCTGCCCCTTAGACGTGGGTTCTTTTGCTTTGAAGCTAAAGAAGGAAGTTCTTCCGTGTTTTAGTGACAACTTGGATCTCAATAAATAACTTTTCTGCCTAGTCTTTGGTTTCAAATTCCACAAGGGGTTTTTGGCTGATTTCTAATAGATTTAGAATGGGGCACACCTCTAAACAACATTGCGACATTTTTCAGAGTCTTTAAAATACAGCTGGGTCGAATATTCTGGAAGTCCTTCATGTGACAAACTGGAAGCAGCATTTTAAAGGCGACGGGTTAGTGATTATTGGCTGGACTTTACCCGCCACCCAAATGCCTTATTTTTGAAAATCAGAACAATTTAGCTCCAAGGGGAAAGAAAAAAGCCACAATGGGAACAGAATTAAGAGGATGGGAATGAATCCACATCAAGGGTACAGCAGGTAAGGCCGTCATCTGGCGAACGGCCAACCTACATTTGATTTCCAACTCCCCATGTGGTCCCACAGCACTGCTAGGAGTGATCCCTGAGACCAGGGGCCTGGCATAAGCCCCGAGCACTGCCAGCTGCGTCCTCCAAATAAAAATGTGAATATAAAAACAAGCTAAGACCGAATAAAGGCATCTTTCCAAAGAAAGAAAAAAGAAAGCAATGACTCAAATGTTTGCAGTAGTTGATCTTTGACAAGCATACCAAGACCAATCCCTGAGGGCAATCATAGTCTCTTCAAGACAGACAGTGAGAAAGCTGGATCTTTGCAGAATGATCCAGTGGAATTCTAACTTACATCCCTATGAAAATGAGCTCCAAATGGATCAGAGTGCTCAATGTTGAGGCTAAAGCTAAGTGACAGAGAAGAAAACCTAGAGGTAAGTTGTGTCTTTGGAGTTAGGATTATGTTTTCGATATGGCGCCCAAAACATAAGCCACAGGACTGGGAGCTAGCACTGGGGTTGCAGCCGACCCTGGTTTGATCCTTAGTTCCAGTATGGCCTCTCGAACCAGGAGGGGTCCCTGGGCATCACCAGGGACAGCCAAAGAGAATCTAACCCCACCCCGCAAGAATAAAGAAAAACAAACAAAGACTCCAAGCAACAACTAAAACCCAAAGTACAAACCACAAGAGAAAAAAATAGATTGGACTTTATTTTTTATTTAAGCAGTAACTGCAGCAAAGGCCATTATCAAGAGCACGAAAAGACATCTTATAGAATGGGAGAGAATATTTGCAAATTGCATGTTTGATAAAGAGCAACATCTACAGTATGTCACTCAACAATAGGAAAACAGTTCAATTCTGCCAAGGGCAATAGATTTGAACAGCCATTTTTCCAACGGAGATATACTGGCGGTCAACCAACATGTGAAGAACTGTTTAAGGGCATAGCCATGATGGAAATGCAACTCCAAGACACAAGAAGAGATAACCCATTAATAATAGCTTTTTAAAAAAATGAGATATAACCTGTGTTGAGGTGGGTGTGGAGAAATTTGATCCTTCATCTTGTAGGAAATGTGAAAGTATGCAGTCAAATGACGATGTGAAATACGATGTTTATTTTCCATCAGTTAAACCATAAAATTACCATATGACCCAGCAATTCCACTCCTCCAGGCCTCATGTCCTCTGAAAATGCGAAAAGAGGCATTCAAACACAAATGGGCACACAGGTGTTCATAGAAACTCTGTTTGCACTGGCTAAGAAGGTAGAGGCGATTCAGAGGCCCGTGAGGTGACTAAACAGAACGACTGTACAATGGAATATTGTTCAGAGAAGAAATGGACTGACCTCAGAGGCCCCATCTTATCACCTGTACATGAAATATCTAGAGTGGGCAAGGCCACAGAACTAAAGACTGCAGGGACTAAAGCAGATTAACAGATGCCAGGGGCGGAGGGAAGGGGAGAACAGCCTTTGCTGATAATGGCCTTTGCTGCAGGCGTGCCTGAGTACTTAAGGGGTGCAGGGCTTCCTCTGGGGCTGATGAAGATCTCCGGTGGGCAATCCCATGAATATCCTTGACGCTGCTGAGATGCACACCGGGAACGGCTAAGATGGTGTCTTTGGGACCAGAGATGGTACAGGGAACACACTGGGCTCCATCCCCAGCACAGAGCTGCCCAGAGCATGGCGCACCAGCGAGTGTGGCTCCCAAACAAAGAGTGAACCAAGAAGATGAACATGGGGACTGGAGCGATGGTATAGTGAGTAGGGCGTTTGCCTCGCACCCAGCTGACCCAGGTTCAGTTCCCAGCATCCCATAGGGTTCCCGAGCACCGCCAGGAGTGATTCCTGAGTGCATGAGCCAGGAGGAACCCCTGTGCATTGCAGGGTGTGACCCCAAAGCCAAAATAAAAGGTAAACATGGTATTTTTACCACTAGTTAGAGCCTAGTGGGGTTACTGGTGACAGGTCCGAATCCAGTGTATGTGTGTGGTCGGGAGGGTAACTGTGTTCCCTAAAGTCAAAGCACCGAGAGAGGAGGGAGAGGCAGGTCCCCCGCAGTTGAGGGGGGCGGGGAGGCGATGGAGATGGGAGTCCCACTCAGATCCTCAGTCTTGTCCTTCGGGGGACCATGTTGGGGTTCTGCGGCGGTGGGTGTGTGGGTGAGTCTGAAAATCCTGGGGCTGGAGAGCGAGAGCTCAGTGTGGGCAATGCACAGGCGTCTTATATGGGAGCCCTGAGTTCCATCCCTGGCACCACATGGTCCCCTAAGCTCCAAGGGGAAATGGCCCCAAAGAATGGCCAGGAGGAGCTCTCTCCCCCCAAAAAATAATGAATAAATAAAATAATGCAGGTGCAGAGAACTGCAGTGACACCCTCTCCCTCCCCAAAGGCTCCATTCCTGTCAGGACACTCAGTGCTCTGACCAGCAGGGACTTGGCCCTGGAGCCCAGGCCCCACCTTGAAGTGCGGGGTGGGGGGCGGGAGGGGGAGCCACCACCCACATCTCCCCAGTCTGTGCGCTGGGGCTTGCAGTCAGCCTGGACCCCCTTTCTCACTGCCCCCAAGTGCTGGGCCCTGCGGAAGTGTCAGACCTGATGCTGGGGGGTGGGGTGGGGCAGGGCTGGATCAGTAGCACAGCGGGGAGGGCATTTGCCTTGCATGCGACTGACCCAGGTTCGAGCCCCGGCATTTCATAGGGTCTCCCCCCCACTCCCCCCGGCCCCGAGTATTGCCAGGAGTAATTCCTGAGTGCAGAGCCAGGAGGAACCCCTGAGCATCACAGGGTGTGACCCAACAAACAAAAAAATTAAATTAAAAAAAAAAAAGACTTGCTGCTTGGGTCAGAGGCTTGGGGCAGGGCTGAATTGTCAGAGCCGCGAGGAGGGAGGCTAGTGGGCCCCTCAGATCCCTGTGCCCCCAGCACTGAGCTGCACCTGGCGGAGTCGCCCGGTTCCATGTGCCACATCCAGGATCTTCTAGAACACGGAGAGCAGCTCAGCAGGAAGGCCCCAAGGTGGAGAAGCAGAAGCAAACAGGAACCCCCTTCCCCACCAGTGGCGTCCTCTCCTCGGGCCTCCAAAGCTCAGCTTCTTAAATAGGGGGTCTCCACCACCCTCGATGGGGTCCTGGAGGCTTGAATGTGGAGTCAGGAGAAATCTGCCCAAGCGGAAAGGTTCCTGAATGTACCTACGACCAAAAATGAATTCGAAGTCAGATGTGTGATGGGCTGGAGAGACGGCCGCTGTCTCTGTTGCTCTGTCTGTAATATTGGGCTAGCGACCCCTGCCTCACTCGTGGGTGGGATGGTGCCAGGGTGTAAGAACACATAAATGCTTAAGAGCAAAGGGAATGGCCACGCACAGATGGCCAACAAGGGCGGTCATGCCCGTGGCCATTCGTTCTCTCTCTTCCCGGCATTCTGTATCAACACCATCGGTTGTTCTTCACTGGAACCGTGCTCGGTACCCAGTCCCTCATTACTGAGCTGTCCCCTGTACAGTCCACCGGCTCGCTGTGGACCTGCTGAACCCTTGAAAAGTGCCTGGTCCAAGCTGAGCTGCCTGTCAGTGTAGAACAAGGCACCAGATAGAGAAGAGACAATATGGAAAAGAAGCAAAGTATCTTAACTTTTTTTGTCTTTTTGGGTCACAACCAGCCGTGCTCCTAGCTCTGCACTCGGGAATTACTCCTGGCAGTGCTCAGGGAACCATATGGGATGCTGGAGATCGAACCTGGGTCGGTTGCATGCCAGGCAAATGCCCTCCCCACTGTAGTACCACTCCGGCCTCCAATATCTTTTAATATTTTAATAGCAGGCCTGAGATCCTGCTCTACGGGCTGGAGCCGTGTGTCACAGGCAGGAGGCCAGGTTCGATCCCCAGCACTGCATGGTTCCAACAGCAGAAGCACCTGCACTTTCTCGCAAGCACTACCAGCTGTGGCCCCCCAAACAAAACCGAACAACAACGGCAATGATGTTTTTATTGATTACAGGTTGGGGTGGTATTGACAGTTCCGGGCCATGCTCCAAAGCTGCTCTTGGCTTTGCGTGGGGGCATGGCACGGCCTTGGGATCAAACCTAGGACTTGTGCCCGGGGAGTATGCACTTTGCGTCATCTCCCTGGCCCAGTAACAACTATTCTTAGAGATCGATCTAGAGTGTTCTCAGCCTGCTCTTAATCGAGCACCTCTTCACCCAGCCACACGTCTGCTCCAATATTCCAAGCGGGAGGAGTGGACGAATTCTTGTAGGCAGTGAGCCGTCTCCAGACAAAAGCGCATCCAGTCGCTGGGGGCAGGGCCGAGCTGGCCTGGGGCTCATGCTCTGCGGGCCCTTTTGCAGGTGCGCTGTCACCCTGAAATCCAAGAGTTGCGCCACTGGCAGAAGAAGCTGCGGGAGGAGAAGCACATTCGCCAGAGAATCCAAATGTTCTGGGCCAAACAAGAGAAGAAACGTGAGTAGCTCGATTCCCGGGCCATCTTCTATGCAGCAAAACCCGAATCGTATCCCGGGCTCCTGTGGGCAGCCGGCGGGTGCGGTGACTCCGCCTGCCCCAGCCGCACCCCACTTCCGGAGTGACTGGTGTGGTGGGGGGCTGGACACGTCATTTCTCTCTCCCCAGCAAAATCACTGTCTGTAGGTGGTTGGTCGGTTTGTCTCTAAAGCTTCAAGTCTTCTAGAATCACCATACAGGAAGTAGATGGGCGGCTCGTGGGCTAAGGGTTAGTTTCTTCTAAGTTGAGGTTGGGGTGTCTGGACCTCCCTGCGTCCGATGCTTCTGTCCACTCCCCCCAGGTGGGACTCAACCAGCCACATGTCAACATTCAGGGACCTGTGTGAGAAGCATGGAACCCCCCCCCGCCCCGCCTGCTGCCAGTGTCCCTCTCTGTCTGGTTTGCATGGCTCCTTTCCACACTGCCTTTGCATGGGAGAAAGATTAACATCACGCCAGTCGTAAAAGAGGCAGAAACCAGAAGTCCTGCATGGTTAAAACAGGTCGGGTGGAGCAGTCTACAGCAGGGAGGGCCTTTGCCTTGCATGAGGCTAACTCAGCATCCCATCGGGTCAGAGCCAGAAGTAACCCCTAAGCATTACCTGGTTTGTGACCCAAAAAGACAAAAACAAGTTGGGCGGGGGAGGTCACATCCTGTGACACTTTTCCAGTATGAAGGAATACAAATCTGTCTACCTAGGGGGTATCTTCATGTGTTACAAGGATGGTTACTGTGTCCATTCTGCATCTCCTCTGCATTTCTCTGGACATAATTGTTGTTCCAGTTACCTGCCAGAAAGTGGCACCTGGCTGTGTAGAGCTAAGAATTCTGCATCTTTTTTCTTTTCCTTTCTTTTCTCTTCTCTTTCTTTCTTTTTTTTTTTTTTTGGATCACACCCAGCCATGCTCAGGTTTACTTCTGGCTCTGCATTCAGAAAACACTCCTGGGAGTGCTCAGGGAGATGGGATGCTGGGAATAGAACCCAGGTTGGCTGCGTGCAAGGCAAACGCTCTACCCGCTGTGCTATCGCTCTGGCCCCCATTTTTTTGTGGGTGTGTTTGGGTCACATCCAGTGATGCTCAGAGCTTACTCCTGGCTCTGTGCTCAGGAATCACTCTTGGCAGTGCTCGGGGAACCCTATGGGATGCTGGGGATCAAACCCAAGTACAAAGCAAGTGCCCTACCCACTGCAATATCTCTCTGGCCCTGGGATTCTGCATCCTTTTTTTTTCAACCAGTAACGTGGAAGGACGTTCACAATCTATTCTCAAGTGAAGGGGAATTGCAGGACCATGCATTTGCATCCATCTTTTTAAAAAAGTACCCCCCCAATAAATAAATTAAATAAAAAAGTACACCCATGGAGAAGCTGCCAGAATGTCCTGGAACAATGTGTTGGTGGGGGTTCCTTCACATAGGGGGTTGCCCTTTATAATCTTTTAAATAAACACATAGTACTTACAATAGTATGAGTCCACAGTACAGTGATGAAAGTTGATAGCAATTCCTGGGCCCGCTCCTGGTAGTGCTGCCGTGCCCACCCTCACCCGCCCTCGCTAGCCCAAAGCTTCTCCTGGCCAATGCACTTCCTGGTTTTGGCCACTGCTCCTGGGCTCAATAAGAAATCTCATCCTTTGGGACCAAGCCATAGTACAGTGGGTAGGACATTTGCCTTGCACGCAGCTGTGTAGAGCTAAGAATTCTGCATCTTTTTTCTTTTCCTTTCTTTTCTCTTCTCTTTCTTTTTTCAGGTAAAAAAGACTTCTCATCCTTAAAATAGATGTCGGGCTTTTTAGGGATCAAGGATGTGATACGCAACGGAATCCCAAATTATTCTGGGAAAAAAAAGCATGTGTTAACACACATGCACACATAGGCAGTACAAACAGAAAATGATTCATGGGGACAGTGACTCAGTATCATTCAGATGATTGCGAGCTTTCTGTGAATTCGAGAGTAGAAGTTTTTTTAAAAAAAAAGAGCCTCTCTGGGGACTGAGAGATAGCACAGCGGGTAGGGCACTTGCCTTGCACGTGGCCGATCCGGGTTCGATTCCCAGCATTCCCGTATGGTCCCCTGAGCACCGCCAGGGGTTAACTCCTGAGTGCAGAGCCAGGAGTAGCCCCTGTGCATTGCCGGGTGTGACCCAAAAAGCAAAATAATAATAATAATAAATAAAATAAAAAAAGAGTCTCACCTCCTGACATTCTGCTGTTATGTGGGCTGGACCTGGGCCTCTGGGTGAGTGTTAGCTTCCTGGTTCTGTTCTGATGGCTGGACAGAGCTGGCCGCTGCCCCACCCCCCACCTCCTGGAGGTGCCAAGTCCCTTCTGCTCTGTGCATTCCTTGAAATGTGCGGTCCCCAAGGCCAGCCGTAACTATCTCAGCTCTGGTTACAAGAGACCTGGGTCACAAGAACAGTAGCTACGTCTGTCTGGATACAAATAAAGTGCTAAAAACAAGTGTGGATTGAATGCACTGTTTAAAAAAAAAATTGCCATACCTAGCAGTGCTCAGGATCACTCTTGGTGGGCTCAGGGGACCAGTCACTACATGCAAGGCAAGCATCCTAGATTCTGCACTAGCCCCTGAAATGCACATTTAATTTTTATTTACTTATTTATTTGCTTTTTGGGTCGCACCCGGTGGTGCTCAGGGGTTACCCCTGGCTCAGGGGTTACTCCTGGCTCTGCACTCAGGAATTACTCCTGGTGGTGCTTGGGGGACCATATAGGATGCTGGGAATCAAACTGGGTAAGCCGCGTGCAAGGCAAACTGTGCTATTGCTCCAGCACCGCACATTTAATATTGAGAGAATAATTGAGAGTGTGGGAGAGTGAATGAATGAATGAATGAATGAACGAAGAAGGAAGGAAGGAACAAACTGAGTCCTGAGGCGTACAGACAGTGCCGGTGGAAGCAGAGCTCTCTCTGTGCCTCAGGGAAGACCTCTCTCCCCTGTCTGATGGCTGTTCCCTTTAGAGTCGGGCAGGCCGTGAGGCCGTGATCAGTTGAAAGGTCAGGGAGAGTGCAGCCTGTTTAGTTCTGTTGTGAGTTATTCATTTCGCGGTGGGTTGACGGATGGACTTGGCGCACGCCGGGAGCTGGGAACCAGGCCTGAAAGCGGCCTGGATTAAAGTCGAGGCATGCAGCCAGCAGGAGGGGCCGGGGTGAGCATTCCCACCCACCACCTGCTGCTGCTGCTGCCGACCTCCTGCTTTGGGTCGGTTGCGCTGTCGGAGGGGCAGTATCAGACCCTCACCACGGGGTCTTCAACAGATGCCCAGCTATGTGGTTTTGGGGTTCAGTTCCCTCTTAAGAAGAAGAGAGAGAGGAGGAAGGGGAGGGGAAGGGCGGAGGGAAGGAAGAAAGGAGAGGAGAAAGGGGAAGGGCCATTCTGAAACTGTCCCAACTCCACGGTCATTTAGGGGACCGGACAGCACAAGGACGTGTCTCAAGCTGAAGGCCACCTTGTTTCATGTTGTTTGGGCCACACCTGTGGTTCTCAAGGGTTCCGCCTTGAGAACCCTGTTCTGGCCCCGGGTGGGGGGGGGGGCACTTAGAAAGGCATCAAGGGGCTGGAGTGATAGTATAGCAGGGAGGGCATTTGCCTTGCACGCGGCCAACCCGGGTTTGATCCCGATCATCACATAGGGTCCCCCGAGCACCACCAGGATGATTCCTGAGTGCATGAGCCTAGGAGTGGCCCCTGAGCATTGCTGGGTGTTGCCCCAAAAGCAGAAAAGGAAAAAGAAAGTCACCAAACCAGATCCCGGAGTTGTGGTGAAGCATTTTGAAAGCGAAGGTCAGACGCAACTCGCTCTCCTTGGGAAATGGTGGGAGTGGCTATGACGGCACCCTTGGGAGCAGCCCCCCTCTCTTCCCTGTGAGACCCTGCATCGAGTACGGTCTTGGTTAAGAGGGTGCTGTTCAGTCCATCGTGAGCCCTGGTATTTCCAGCCTGCACCCGGTGCAGACAGGCAGCCTGAGATGAGGGAGGTGGGGTCAGCTGTCGGGTGGGCCCATGGGGGTCACATATAGCCCGTGTCATATTACCAGAGCACAGGCCACCCCCAGCCGCCGGGCTCTCTTTAAGGCTCAAAGTGGTGCAAAATGATCCCGGAGCGTCTCTCCAGCGGGACAGTTGCAGGAATTATTTTTAAATGCCTGTGAGCAGAGCAGCGGCTCATGTGATGCCCAGGAAGATGCTGGAGTCGCTGGTTCCTCTTCTGCTTGCTCACCCGTTTGTTCCCCACCTCATTCCAAGGTGGGGTGCGAAACCCACTGAGACCTTTTTAACTAAATGCAGTGACTGAGTGACAAGGGGTGGGGGGTGGGGGAATCAGAGTAGGGACAGAATAAAGCCACTGGCTGCAGTAAGCAGAACACTTCCCCTGAGGACTGTGTTGGCTCCAGGTCGCTTGGAGACGAAGCGAAGGGGGAAGTAGGATCAGGGCCCCCAAGAGCAAGGCAGACGGGGCTCAGGAGGCAGGAAGCGGTCAAGATACTGGGCACCCTGCCAGCCATGAACCAGTCCTCCTGGCCCAGGGCAGTTAGGATAGAGAGGGGACCACTGTGACAGTGAGAGTTGGAAATTGTCACTCTGGACCAGAACTGAAAGAGGTAGAGGGACAAATAGGATGACCTTTCAGTGGTCATATTACAACCATAATGCCCAAAAGTGAGGGGGAAAGAGATAGATAGGGAGAGAGAGAGGGAAATAGAGAGAGAGAGAGAGAGAGAGAGAGAGAGAGAGAGAGAGAGAGAAGAAAAGTGCCTCTCATAGAGGCAGGCAGGGGACGGGGGGAGGGGCTGGAAGGAAATGGAGGACATTAACGGTGGGAAATGTACACTGATGAAGGGACTGGTGATGGAACACTGTATCACTGCAGGAGTGAAACCCAATCACGGACAACTTTGTAACTATGTGTCTCATGGTGATTCAGTAACATCAGCAGCA